TTATGGTTCTTGGGGATTCCCATTATAATTTCAAATTCAATATTGAACTTGAACCAAATGGACCCTAAGCCTATGAAGTGCATCTTATGCAAATGGTTTACATCAAGTGCTAAAATACGATACAAAATAAACCACTAGACTTTAATACTTCCCTCTCTTTAGCTTTTAGTAGCAATGTTTTCAAAATCGGACTGGAAAAACTGATAACCAGTTACTTGATCGATTTTGTTTTACCCCATAATCGTCTTTTGGTAAAAACTGTTGATTTGATCAGCAAAATATAGACCCGAGCGGTCGAACTATTTGAACTATCTGATGGTTTTTGGCCATTTTTTTAATTTTTTATTTTTTTGTCAGAACGGGCCTCCATTTGGTTTGAACGGTTGGATCATTCGACCTAGGAACTAGACCCTTGAATGGTTTGTTGTCCAATTCAGTTTTAAAAGCCTTGTTTATTAGTATACTTCTTATTTTGAGTGATTCAAGTTAATTTGCAGTTGCCCAATGCATTTCATCTGTGTTTTGCTCATAGCAATTTGTTGAACATTTGTAGTTCAATGGATATAACTACACAGTTAATACTATTCATTAGCACTCTCAATGAGTTTGTTATCATTAAAACACATAAGGCTAACAAAATGGTGCTTAAAGAGGTCTATTAATATTACTAGTTTAAACCTTTAATTAAGAATTATATATATTTTGCTTACAACATTTGCATCTAAATGCGTGTAAATAGCTAGGCTCGAATTGGACTAAAATAGTTAGTGGCTCGACTATGTTAAACCAAACGAAAACATTAGGAAAGCCTAGACTTTGGGTTCAAACCCAACCTAATGACCACAACCCCAGCTTAATTCTTGAAAAAATGTAGACCAGATTGGTCTATTTAGGCCTGCCCAAATTGCACATGGCATGAAGTACAATTTCTATAACAAACACTTCATGAAAGGAATTGGGATTTTTTCATCACATCGACCTTGCGGCCACATCCCACCATATATTGAAAACATATATCATGAATTATAACATACAAGTATGAAAAATATTTCCAACGTGCGATTGGAACATGCTATAAAGTCGCTGTAAGGAGCAAAGTCAGACTCCTTGGATTTGATTTAGTCATCACAAGACCGTGCTCATAATTATTTGCAATCGTGTATTGGGAATATTCCCAAAACATAGCTACAAGTGGCTTAGTACCACATGAGCATGGCCTGATAATTACAATAATTACAGCCACTTGCAATTGTGTCACGGGGGTAGTTCTGCAACGGAAGAAGCCCGTGCGGCGTCCAGGCCAAGGCAGGCCAGGACAAGCCTTATGTGTGCTTGGGGCTAGGAGTTGCCCGATGAGATGTCTCCACCAAGGTCAATAGCACTGGATCATGACCTCAAGGCTCATGGCTAGGGCACTCTACTGGCTCTTGCCGGTCCATGGGAGGCGCCACTTACGTGCTAAAGGGGGATGTCCATGATGAGAGGTGACGTGACGCCGATGTGAAGGGACTCTTGTATGCCAATGATGTAGGCACCCGATGTGCCGCTGGCGATAGGCAACCGTTGGGTCGGAACACACCCGTGCGCTAGGGGCAACGAGATAGCTCATTCAACTTAGGCAAGGGGCTGGCGTGGTGAAGGGTCATGCTTAAGCCAAGCTTCCCTTGAGTGTCGGTGGCACAGTGCTGGTCCATACACTGTCCCCATGAGCATGCGTACGCCCATGAGGAACCCTGGCAGCCATGCTAGCCATTAACCAGGGCCACCCCACAAGGGATGTTGGTGTAGGAGTGCTATGGTTAGGCACCCAAGGATGTCGACCACCCCTCCTCAAGGAGTATGTTAAGTTTTTGGTGGTCTGCCTGAAGATGACATGAGATTTCCCAATAATCTTACTAGCAAAAATGATGGTGATGCCCTTAACGTAAGCCTGCCAAGCGTAGGCAAGGCTAAGCCTTTGTCAAATCGTGACAGGCTCCCCTACTCAATCCATTGTCATTATCAACAATGACTCTTCTTGTGAATGGGTGTTTGTGTCTCGTGCCATCCACTTGTGTGCCAGTTCTTGGGCTCACCTGGCCAACCTGGGTCTCACCTATGTTGGTGTCCATTTATGGGGATGGAACCATTTCACCATGCTGGCTTGCCTAGACTTCAACCCCTGTGTTGAGGTTACTCAAACCGTGTGATGGCTATGCCGTTGAAAGTGTGTGAGAAGGGCCCTCGAAGAAATTGGATGTGTGTGCTTTGTGGAGGTCTGCCCCATGTATCATCTTTACCTCAAGGCTCGACCGTCTTCTTGGTAGCTTTTCGGTGGTGCTACCGAACACGATGTGATAAGTCTACTCCTACTGTTGGCGATGTGTCCTGGGTACCCTTTCACCATACTAGCCTGTAGACTTCACCTCGCCGTGTGCGGGTTACTCAAACCTAGTCCATGGATTATACTCTCTTGGCCCTCGAAACTACACTTTGCCTCGCCGACTCGGGCTATCTCTTCGCTTCGAGGGGGCCCAATGTGCTGCTGCCTCAAGGAGATCTGACCGCAATGTGCGCGAGTGTGGCAGCTTTTACCCGTGATGTTTCCGAACATGCACTTGCCTTGTGATGTGTGATTGTTGTTGTGAATGTTCCGCCAGTGTGTTGAGCTGAGCATGTCCTCCGATGCTTTGCCGGTGTAGGGCTGCAATGCTCCAACGGCCAGTGTACCCACATACCTAACATTCCAATATTGTGGCTTCAGCCAATGACCCATTTTGTGCAAAAATGCCACTTCAGTGATATTCTTTGACCAACCGTTGACACCAACCAATTCCGGACTACTATCCCCGCCTTAGTAGTGCCTCAGACAAAGCTACGGAACAATGGCTCACCCGTCATGAAACCAAGATAAAGGCGCGCCGCTCACAACTCACTAAAATGAACAACAACTGATGTCCGTGAGGAAGCATGGCACTTCCCCACTCAAACCACCACAATATGCCTTCCAGGAAATGGTTCATGCGTTTGCCCCTGCATGAGCACAACGACCAATGCGTCTACCCCCACAAGGGCGCTGTTTTGGGGTCATTGGAATGGGGACACGATGAATGGCCTCTTGCCAGGCCTAATGTGTTGCTTGCTTGTTTGTACCCAAGTGGAAGTGCCAAGGTACCGCACCCCACGATGTGTTGCTTGTCATGATGACCGCTTTAATTGGATCTGTGTGCATTTTGCTCTGATACCAACTATCATAGGGGTAGTTTTGCAGTGGAAGAAACCCGTGCGGCGTCCAGGCCAAAGCAGGACAGGACAAGCCTTATGTGTGCTTGGGGCTTGGAGTTGCCTGATGAGATGGCTCCACCAAAGTCAGTAGCACTAGATCATGACCTCAAGGCTCATGGCTAGGGCACTTTGCTGGTTCATGGGAGGCACCACTTATGTGCTAAAGGGGGATGGCCATGATGAGAGGTGACTTGGTGCCAATGTGAAGGAACTCCTGTATGCTGATAATGTAGGCACCCAATGTGCCGCTGAGGATAGGCAACTGCTGGGTTGGAACACACCCGTGTGCTAGGGGCAACGAGATAGCTCATTCAGCTTAGGCAAGGGGCTGGCGTGGTGAAGGGTCATGCTTAAGCCAGGCTCGCATGCCAAGCCTCCCTTGAGTGTCGATGGCGCAGTGCCGGTCCATGCACTGCCCCCATGAGGAACCCTGGTAGCCATGCTAGCCATTAACTAGGGCCACCTCACAAGGGATGTTGGTGTAGGAGTGCCAAGGTTAGGCACCCAAGGAGGTCGACCACCCATCCTCAAAGAGTATGCTAAGCTTTTGGTAGTTTGCCTAAAGATGACATGAGATTTCTCAATAATCTTACTGGCAAAAATGACGGTGATGTCCCTTAACGTAAGTCTGCCAAACGTAGGCAAGGCTAAGCCTGTGTCAGACCATGACAACTATGCATTGGGATTCTCAATGAATGAAAACATATAAATAGGGAGATGTTCCCAATAGACGGTTGCAAGTTGATATGAGTACGGTGCGAGTATGATAGTAACTACTGAATATGATATTGGGAGAATTAGACGAGACCAGATTTGCTCCTCACACAGGGTGCCTCACTCGCACCTCACACGCACATCGTACCATGCATTGGGAACATCTCCCATACTTATGAATTATTATTCATGGGAGTATGGGAGATGTTCCCAATGCACAGTGGGTGTGCATGTGAGGCGTCCCGTGTGAGGAGCAAATCCTACCCTGATTGAGAACATCTCTCTTATAAGTTATTATTCACGGGAGATGTTCTTAATGCATGATGGATGTGCCTGTGAAGTGCCCATATGTGAAGAACAGGGAATGGGATCTGCTCCCCACACATGGACGTCTCACATGTAGATCCACCGTGCATTGAAAACATCTCCCGTGAATAATAACTTATAATTATGGGAGATGTTCCGAATGCATGATAGGATGTGCACGCGAGGAGCCCTGTGTGAGGAGCAGATCCGGTTTCGAGGAACAGATCCCGTTCCGTATATGAATGTTCCCTTCCCTTGGAATGTTCAGCATCCTTCGTTCGATGTACAAGCAGTTTGTACATGGTCTACACCGATGGTCGTAGACTCTTCTCTTACCGGTAACAACAGTCGTAAGTCGTAACCGCTATTTTGGAATTTTTTTATTCGGATTTGGGAACATTAAACGTCCTGGGGAGCCGTTGGTTTAGAATCAAAACGGCTTGTATATCGGGAATTGAGATTCCAAATCAATAGATTCTGATAATGCGTCGTCAGCATTAGCCGTATCTCGGTAGCTGCACTTACTGGCTATCGGGCACTTGCATTCTTTGTGAGTTTGTGACGTGTGCTTTATTACACGTGTAAACAAACAAATATATGTAATAGGACACCTGTCGAAAATTGAATGGAGGTGCACGATAAGTGCGGTAGATCCGAACTCTTGTCTGTCAGGTTTATTGTACACTCCGGCGTGTTTTAGTTTTTATCGTGAGCTCATTTCACTTCTGTCGTCGAGACTCGAGATAGAGAAAAAGGTCGGAACCGGCAGCAATAATACCCGGGAAGGAAAGAAGAGATCTTCTTGAACTTCTCATATACCTGCCGTGTCCGTACGGACCCGCCACTATAAATAGCTGTACGCCGAAAGTCAGAAAGCGTTTCGTTCGACCGTGCTCCGCTCCTCTTGTTGGAGTCTTTAGCGCTCCCTCTCCATCTCTTTGCAGAAATGGCGATGGCGAGGGCAAGCTCTGGCCTCGCTTATCCAGAGAGATTTTATGCCGCAGCTTCATATGCAGGGTTTGGCGGATCTCCGAGTTCTTCCAAAGGCGTGATCTCGAAGTTCCAGAACGACGTAGCATTGTTACTCTACGGACTGTATCAACAAGTAATCACTTAATTTCTGCGAAATATTTATTCTCTCACAGAGTTTCTTCCCTGGATCTAGTTTTCTGCTTCGAGAATTCCGGGATCGTTTACTAGTCTTTGCGTAAATGTAACTTTCAGGAACTTCGTTATTATCGTGTAGTATCATGCTGAAAACTGTTATTTCATGTCGGCTTGGGGCGGGCTGTTTTTTCCCCGTTGAGATTTAGGTAGATCTAGAATATGAATTGAAATTACAGTCGGTGGAATGTTGATCCAGTGTAGGCGAGGGCAGATCGGAAATGAATTAGTTCTGAGAATGAGGTTCTTGCGGGATTATGTATTGACTGTTTGTTAATTTGGGGCATTTCGTTGGATGTGCCAGGGAAACTAGGAAATTCCGAAATTAGGTGTCCTTGTTGGCTAATATTGTTTCAAACTGGGCTTATTTCAATGGTTCCTTAGTTTTAGCTTGTGAAGAAACACTGAAACAACTGAATTATTTTGAAACCACTTCCACTATCGCAGGCAACTGTAGGACCCTGTAATGTTCCGAAACCACGAGCTTGGAATCCTGTGGAGAGCAGCAAGTGGACGAGGTTTGTGTGCAGGATTTTGCATTGTTTTTTAATTCCGTTGTTTAATTTGCATAGTGTGATGTATGACGACCATGCAGACCTTCTGAAATTACTTGGCAGGTTAAGTTTTGAGTTCTTCTGGGGATAATTGTTAGACACATCGGTTTAATTGCCACTGTGCCGTTTATTCTGAAGGCACTTCTTGATTGACGGATTATTTGAGCTATGCAACATGTTTTACCAATTTAGAAATTTCTCTGTATTTTTCTAATACAAATGGGATTGGATTGGTTGGTTTACTGGTATTCAATCACTGCATTAAAAATTTAAAATTAATTTATTTTCACAAATAAAATTTCAATAAGTGGATCTTGTTTAAATGAGGTACCCCCGCTTCTGAAGAAGTTAGCGACCACTATCAAAATATGGAAGAATATTTTCACATTTGCTTTGGTGTTAAAGAATTATCTGATTCCAATTTCACTACTACAACCATCAAACCTCACGACTTATGCATTACATCAATAAAAAGGAAAGAACTTCTGTTTTGTGAACTGAAGTTTAAATTCAGTTAGAAAAGACCTTTAATATAGTCATTTCTCAATTCAGTGAATAAATGGTTATTTTGTTGACATTTCACCATCATAACATTTTACAATTCACCAATCACTAACCCTTAAAAATATTAGAATCCAATCATTGCATAAAAATTAATTCAATTTCATAAAATAGGTTTGAACCAGTGGATCATTATTGCCCCCAGGTCTGAAGAAGTTGTGTTGGTGATAAAGTCATTAGCTTCTGATTTTACTATTATAAATTCATGTTTTAGGCAATGTGTCAATGAAAAAGAAAAAAAGTCTGTTTTGTAGGATGAAATTTAAATTCAAATAGCACGCTTAAAATACTCACCTTCCAATTCAGTGAAGTGAATGCCTGTTTCAATGACATTTTATCGTCATATCATTTTACAAATTCACTAATCACTAACCCTTAAAATCAGCAATTATAATATTAATAAACCATATCATTGTAAAAAATGGCTGATAGAAGTTTTTTTTTTTTTGGTTTCTCTGTTCTGGTTATCCTCAATAGCTGAACAAAATGAAAAGCTGAATTTTCTTGATCCCTCCTGAAAAGTTTCCGCCTTTTCTATTGTTTGTTTCATTGAGTAATCAAATTGCTTAGAGTGGGTCACACATGGGGACAGCCTCTTAGCAGTTGAATATTGGGGATGCCTTAATATTGAATCTTAGTATTTGCACCTTGAATAGTGCTTGGCCTCTATGAAAAATTTTCCAAGTCCAAGCATCTAAGAAATATCTTCATGTTAAATAATGATCAATCGTTAAAGAATTGCCCAAGACATCCAACTATAGTACTTGGGCACATTGTGTACTTACTTTAGGGAATGCAATTTGCAATATTTATTTGACTCATGGTGTGCAATATCCTATCCCCAACATTTTTCTAATTTTTCTCATGAAATTTCCTTTTTAGGGGGATCCAAAATGTCTATGAGTTGGATTTTATATAGTTGTAGTAGATAGGTTGTTGCAATGGAAAAGGATAATGAGAGATAGTACAATGACTACAATGCCTTTAAACTATTGCGTGAAGTGCTATAATATAACAATATTCCCCTTACATCTACCAACACCATAGACAAGGTTTCCATAATTACATGATTTAGGCAAGTAGTTACAATATTTATACCAAAAGAATTAGGGAGTATCACAAGAAAAAAATGATCTGTTACAAACAAGAAGGCCTTTTTGGTGTTTGTCACCTCATGTTTGATCTTTGTGCCTTGCAAGTTAGAATCAATATGCCGTCTATTAATCTCCTGTCAGCTAGCAACTAGCTTTTGGGAGTGGGCTTTTGATCATTTTTGGTGGCAGGTGGAGAGAGCCTGACAACCATGAATCCCTTTTCAAGGGATCCCTCGCTCTTTCTCCCACCATGAGAGGGAGAATCATGTTGAGATGAATTAGGTTACATCTTTATGGACAATTTGGGAAGATAGGAACAATAGAATCTTCAAAGACAGGACAAGAACTTTAAAATTAATCAAGGAAAGTATACATACAAAAGCTACCTATTAGATCAAAGCCTTAAAAGTTGTTGAAGCATTTTTTATGCGTCTGTTCAAATATAGTTGCTAATGCTGTGTCTCCCCTACCAATACAAGAAGGGATCTATGGGCATTTAGAGCATGCGGGATTAGGTGAACCACTTCCAGGAATCAAAGGTGAGTTAAAGGGTCGTGACACACGACCACCATTGGCTACCTTTGAATAGGGTACTCGCATGAAGATTTTGTCTTGCCCACCATTGGTGACAGAATACTTCTCTGTGAAGGTGGGAACATGAGTTGAATTAGGAACTTGAAATTGGTGATACAATTGTTTGAGCAAATGTCAAATCTTAAGATGAACTTGGAGAAAAGTTGCATAATGGGAGTGAATGTGGAGAGAAGGGAGATTAGTATGCAGATACTCTAGGGTGTGCAATCTCGGAGTGGCCTGTACAGTACTTGGTCTTCCCCTAGGAGATAACCCTAGGAAGCAAGCTTCTAGATTCCGGTGGTGGAAAGATTTGAGAAAAGACTTGCTTCTTGGAAGAAGAATTATTTCTCTTTGCGAGGAAGGATCACATTGATTAGGTCTACACTAGCTAATCTACCTGTCTATTTTTTGTCAGTATTCTAGGTCCCAACAGAGGTCTCTAACAAACTGGAAAAGTTGATGACAAAACTTTTTGTGGGATCCAGGAGAGGAAAAGAGGGACCATAGGGTGGCGTGGGAGGTGGTTACTAGAAGTAAGAAACAAGGTCTTGGGATTGGAAATATAAGAAAAAAAATACGACTTTATTGGGGAAGTGGTTATGGAGGTTCCCTTTAGAGAAGGATTAGTTGTGGGCAAAGATAGTGGCTGGCATTCATGGTCGGGAGGACAATGGGTGGGATCCTGTAATTCTGGCAAGGACTACTTGTACTTCTCCGTGGAAAGCCATCCATGACCTTCTACTAGTAACCACCTCCCACACCACCCTATGGTCCCTCTTTTCCTCTCCTAGCTCCCACAAAAATTCCCTCATCAGCTTTTCCAGTTTGTTAGTTTTCTCCCCTTGGGTCAGGTATGATTTGAACTCAGGAAACCTCATTAAATTTTGGGAACAAACTTGGGTGGGGAATACTCTCTTAATGTACCAATTCCCTTCTTTGTATGCTCTCTCTGACTTGAAAAATGAGACCATTTTTTCCTTCTCAGTTCCTTTTGATTTTGCTTTAGGATTTGGGTGGAATTTGGGATTGATAAGGGTTATCAGGGATACAGATTTAGGTAACATTTTGAACCTTCTGGCCATCCTTGGAAACGTTTTCTTGGATCCTTCAAAGGAGGACAGCAGATTTTGGACCTCCTCACCCTCATACTCTTTTTCTTGTGCATCTCTGTTCAAAACCTTCACTTAGCAACCTGCTCCTCCTGGTTTGTCTTTCCCTGTTAAAGAGGTCTGGTGCAAGCCCATTCCTCCTCAGGTTGGGAGTTTTTGTTGGGAAACTTTCACGGAAAGAATCAACACAAGTGATCTGCTTCAAAGAAAGAGACTCAAGACTTGTTTATCCTCGCATAGGTGTATTCTCTGCAAGGCAGATGGGGAATTTGGTTACCACCTTTTGGTATCTTGCCACTATGCTAAAACTGTATGGGAGTGGGTTTTCTCACTTTTTGGGTGTACTTGGAACTAGGGGTGTCAATTGGACTGGATTTGGTCCGATCCGGTCCAGTCCAATGTGAGTCCATTACAAATGGACCTGGTCCAATCTAGTCCAATGAATATTTTGGACCAGTCCAGAGACTGTCCAATCTGTTCAAATTCCTATTAATTTAGATTGGTTTCAACTCAAACCTGGTCCATTGACACCTATGTTGTTATCTTCTATCAATGGACCAGATATTGGCTCAATCCAATATAAATTCATTATGGACGAACCAAGTCCAATCCAATATGTCATATTGGTCCATCCAGTCTGTCCAAATTCAATACGTCTTATTGGGCCGTCCTATCCGTCCAAATGGATTTTGATTTGGACGGAGTCCAACCCGAAACCGGTCCTTTGACACCCCTACTTGGAACCCCCCAATGAATGTACAAAGTTTGTTTTCCTCTTCTTCAGTTGGTCAATGAAAAGAGGAAGGATTATGTGGAGGCGTATGAGGGCTGCAGTGTGTTGGACCTTATGGGAAGAAAGAAACTCAAGAATTTTTTCAGAACATGAAAGAAACATTGATAACCTAATTGAGTTGATTCATATTAGGGTGGCACATTTGGTGAAATCTTTGGATTTATTCATAATAGACTTCACTGTGGATGACCTATTGAGAAGTTGGAAAGAGATAGCAAGTTCTGCCCAGGTTAAAAGGGACATAAGTCCCTCTTGGATACCTCCCCCATTAGGCTTCCTAAAACTGAATTTTGATGGCAACGGCCTTGGAAACCCAGGTTTGTCAGGTATTGGGGGAGTATTCAGGGATGAGGAGGGGATTGTTTCAGCTATCTGTTCTGGCCCTATTGGAGAGGGTGACTCTCCAAGGGCTGAGGTCTTGGTGGCATTGGAGGCAATTCAAAGAGCAAGGGAGTTGAACATTAGGAGACTGATAATTGAAAGGGACTTGGAGGTGGTAATAAGATGGCTAAGGAGACAAGACTGCTATGTGGAATTACAACAATGAAAGGAAAAAATTTAAATGGCTGGCAAAAGATATTGAGATAAAATTCAGTTGGGTGAAGAGATCTGCTAAGTAATTTGCGAATGGGTTAGCAAAGCAAGGGGTGATTAGGGATTCTTTGTTTTGGGCTCATTTCTAATCCTATAATTTTGTTTGTTGGTTGCAAGGGAGTTAAGATAGCTTACTTCCCTCTGCTTGTATGTATACTTCTTATTTAATCTTAATGAAATTCTTGGTTATTGATAAAAAAACAAAAAAAGAAAAAAGATCTTTTCTTGCCCAAAAGAAATGTCGAAGGAAGCTCAAGTTTGCAATGCCGAAAAGCACATTTGCAGGAAGGAGAATCAGTTCAAGAAAAGGAAATTCGGCAAGAAAAAGAATCCCGGGCTTAACAGACCAAATTTTAAAAGGATTGAATAACAGGAAGGAGAATCTCGACTGAGGCTAGAGAAAGAAAGGGAGAAAGATGGATCTAGGTGATTGCCAAGTTTGACAAAAAAGGTAGGAAGAGGATCATAGGTGGAGCACTAGTGACTTTTGACGATTACACTCATTCTCCCGTGACTCGCGATGCTGGACATTTTTCTCGGGTTAGTAGGGATCCCAATGGGAATCGTCGCTCCTCCAAACCCGGGGTTACAGTTTTGATTCCCCTAGAGGTTGGGTGTGAACCTGGAAAACCAAATCTGATGGCTCCAGAAGAGCTTGTCTCTGCGGAATCAGAGAGGTTGGAAGGGGGGGAGGAGGCAGTTTGGAAAAGGAGTGTTAGTGCCAATGTTGAACTGGGAAGTAAAGGTGAGGTTGGAGGAAAGGGAGTTTCAGATGGTGATGAATCCATTGAAGGGAAAGGCGAAAACTTTCTCGAGGATCGTATGCATTACGAGGAGATAAAGGTTGATAGGTTGGGTGTTGATTTGGGTTGAGGAAGCAAACTTGAGGGGAAGGAGGAGGAACAGACTAATGGGATAGTCTGCAAGAAATTAAGTATTTTGAGAAACCATAACATTGTACATGTGATAGCTTTTTTCAAGGCTAAAAACTCAGCTTGGTGGGGGCAGGACCTAAAAGAAATGCAAAGGGGTGTACGGGAGGAAAAGAGAGAGGCAAGGGGATACTTGGTATTGATCAAAGGGGGGCAATGAAGCAAGTTCAGTAATTGGTCCCCCTTTTGGTGAAGGAACATGAGGAGAACAAGCTGAGTGGTGTTGTGTCTGACCCTGATGAGAACAGGTTGCAGTAGAGTAGTGATATTATTGACAGAGATTCAGATGATGCAGGCTATGCAGCTTTCTAGAAAATAGTGGATAGAGAGGTTACGATTGGGAAAAGCCTGGGTCTGTTTTTCTGGGGTGGTGAGGGGTTTGCTAGGATGGCCTTTGAGGAATTTGAGAAGAGAAAAAAGGAAGAGAAATTGAAGAAAAAAGTCCATCCGAAAGGAACTAAGGGATGGGATGAGGATGTCTCAGCTCAGGAGGATATTCTCACGGATGAAGACTGAGGGTGGTGTTTCAGGAAGGGGTTTTGATTTGGGTCAGCTGATGGGCCCGTGGTCTTTGTTTCAATGGGGATCTGCTTTGGATTGGTTCCTGGGTACTTCACTCAGATTGGTTGGGTTTTCATGTTTGTAAGCTGTGGGGTATTTGGGACATCTTGGGTGTATGGGGCTGTTATTGTTCCTTGGTGATATCTTATCACCTCAAATGTATTTCTTTTCCTTTTTATTTTTAATAATTTTTTTATCTTTATCCTTAAAAAAAGATTTGATTAGAGGGTGGAGTACAGCTGCAGCTACTACTACCTGTAGGGATTTGGTCTCAGTGCATTGGGCTCCACCAAATGAAGGAAAAGTAAAATAACTTTGACAGATATTGGGTAAACACCGGAGAGTTGGGAACTGGGGGGGTTTTTATGGACCACAAGAGGGAATATTCTTGTCCTGTATTCAGGCCCTTTTGGGAAATGAAATTCTATCAAGGCTGAACTGAAAGCTGCATTGCAAGGCTTCAGATTAGTAAGAACCTAAACCCTAAGAAACTAGTTGTGGAAGGTGACTCAAAGGTGGTGATAAACTAGCTCAAATATAACAATGAAGGACCATGGCAGCACTGGAATTATTTAAAAGAATTAAATGTGGTGGAAGATGCCATGGCCAGATAAAGGGTACATAGAAAACAATTTATTTGGGGTACTAGAATGACGGGCAGGGGCCAGCCTCACTAATTGAATGTTGGGCGTTCTTGTACTATATGTAATTCAACCATTTTTTTTCTTGTATTTAATGAAATAAGTTTTACTGTTACTGATAAAAAAAAGGAAGTGATCTGTTACATGATGAAGGGTCCTGAAGAGCTAGAGGCATACCAAAAGGAGATTTGGTTGAAGGAATGAGAAATGATTTAAAGGCCTAAAACTTAACAATGGATATGGCACTGAACAGAGCAGAATGCTGGAATAGGATTCATGAAGTCATTCCCATTTAGTTTGGACAAGGCTTATTTGAGTTGAGTTGAGTGTTACAAGAAAGAGATTAGAAGACTGAAATTTATGTTATAATTATACTTTTTTTGTCTTTTAAAAGAAAAGAAAAATTTATTAATAATTAAAAGGAGGGGGGGGCATGCGACCTTACCCTTGAAACAAAAATAGGAGTCGGAGCTTGATACAAAGGAAAAGCTAAACAAACAAAAGAACAAAAGTAACTTAAGAGTAACGGGGGTGGTAATCTTTGTTTATTCTAGAGGATCTACGAACATTTCCTGATTGAGTTATCTCCTGGATACTCTTGGATTTAGAGTTATTTTTCTTCATCTTGCTTTCCACTGTCACCCAATCCTAATTTGAGCCATTTGTCTCCTTGGGTATATTTTTTTCAATTAGGTTCTCATCCATAGGATCACCTTTCTTTGCAGGACTGGCCATAAGCTTTGTAACGACAAGATCTACTAAAAAGGAAGTTCACATTGTCATGGATTCCAATCTCTTGATTGTCATGACTCCATTGGTTTACCCTTGGCTAAGGCCAAGGAAAATACAACCTTTCATCATCACATTCTTTTTCATTTTCTTGTTCCATTTCCATCATATCTTGAATTTTGTGTTAGAAAGCTTCTGATTACCTTCCTTTGCTTGATCTTCCTATTCCTTCTCTGTGCCCCTATCAGCATTTTGTTGAATACCTTTGTGCCAACCTCTGCTCTGCCTTGCATTGTTTCGAGACTTGTGTAAGTTTATCCTGATCTGCACCATTGCTCATAGATTCATTTTCCTGGACACCTGACATGTCCCCATGTATAGCAAGTCAATCCTCTGGAATATTGTCTAGGGATTTAGCAACAAATATTGGCTCTCACTCTCCCTTTGTGGTCTAAATAACCAGATCAGTTACAACAGTAGTAAGGTGATTCCATCTTTTACAACTTTGACCATCTGGATCTCATGTAGCTTTTATTCATTTTTTGATGCCTTGAATTTTTTTGATCATTAAAAGTTCAATTTTTATTGATATGGATGAAAGAATGGTACGTATATCATTGTACCTAGCACCATAATCCATGCTAGCCACCCCATTGCTTTCTTTGGGCATCAAACCCCAACACAACCAATACCTATTAGCACCTCCGATTTTGGAGTTCATTTATAGATAGTTCTTAGTTTTGTTCCATGGACCTGTCTTCTTCTTGCATAACCACTTGACCAGCAAACTACATTTTGAGTTCCCTTCTACCTCTCGAGTTTCTGTTATCAAGGATGAAGCAAGCCTCAGCCCACGTAGAACTGCCATCAACTCTGCTCTAATTGAGTTCCAATGTCCTATCGATCTTGAATATAGAGCCAATATGCTTACTTCGCTGTTTCTAAAGGCTTCCCCTATTCCGGATCTTTCTGTGTTTCCCAAACTGCAGCCATCAAATTCAGCTTTATGGAAATTCAACTTTTTTCTTTTGGGGTGTGGGGTGCAAAGGCAATTGGGAGGATTCCATTGAAGCATTGAAATTTATCTCAAAATCAAAATTCCAAACCTTTTTTGCCAGGTTCCCCAAAACGTATGCTAGAAGTATACCTATCTGCTTCCTGCTTAACAAACTACCAAACTCAAACTGAAGTTGTCCCATAACAAGCCTTAATCTGATTTTGAGAATCTTCACTGGCCTCTAGTGCTGAAAATACCTGTACTTGGGTTTATGACTCTTCTCCCCAAGGTAAAAACCTAGTATTCCTTCTCATGCAAACAGCTTAATGGTCCTTTGTAACCATTATTTAAATCTCATCATCCTGAACCTCTTTTTAGGAATACCTTGTTGCAAGTTCTAAAGTTGCACTCTGCTCTGCAACTCCAACAGCGCTTCTGTTTTATACATGATTTTTTCCTCCTAATATACCTTAGAGTATATTCTAGTCCAAGACATTCTCATAGCTTATTTTACCCACATATTATACTGGTAGAGTGGCTATAGGAACAACATAAACACCTCTTCCCAGATGTCTTTCTGATAATCTCCTAGAATTTTATTGGCTTACATGCAAAATAATTGTATGTTTGGAACTTTTTTCATGGACATAATTTTATTACTACAAGAAGCTGCAATTGATCTCATCTGACATGTTAACAAATGAGGTTTTGAGAATACTGATAAGAAAAGCTTAGAAAAATTATCTACTGAGTCTAAGTGGTGTTTTTTTTTTTTTAATTCTTCCTTAACTTTTATTTTTAAATGAATTTGATAACCATAATGCCTTTATATAATTTCTTCATCAAGCTGTACCATAGAAACTTTTATCTGACACTTGTATAAAGAGCATTGGTTTTAAAGTAAAAGAAGGAAAGGAATCATGTCTATTTACACTTAAGGTTCCATTGATCAATTAATCTTCATGTGTTTTTATATCTGCAATCATTATGTGTCTAATTCCTTCATCATTTTTTTTTTACTTTCTTAATTATTGAATTCTGAAAGATGTTTCTGTTGCTATAGTTGGAATGGGCTTGGAAACATGGCTTCAACAGAGGCGATGCGCCTTTTTGTGAAAATCCTGGAGGTACAGAAAGTTAAGATTCATTTTGTTGCAATGTATTTTAGACTCTCCAATAGCTGACTGTTTTTGTATCATTGGTTTGAGTAGGAAGAAGATCCGGGGTGGTATTCAAGAGTTCCTGAGTATGTTGTCGAGCCTGTTGTAGATGTGGAGATGAATGTGAGTTCAAATTTATACACATTGGACGTCCCTCCCCTCCCTCCCTCTCTCTCCACCAGAAAATAAACACAAGTTATGAATACGAGTTTGTGTTTGTTGAACTCGCAAAGATGACAATGGAGCTGCCTTGTACAAATATCCAAAATCTGGTTCTCTATGGGTTGCCCTTTCAAGTCTAGATTTATCAATAATCCGTAATGGGAATCTCAAGAACCTTATTGCAGGTTCTGTTTTACAGTATAATCTTATGATTATGGATTCATGTTAATAATGGAAACACCTAGAATGCTTGGTTTTTATCTATTTCAAGCTCTGAGTCATACATTTTATATGATTTTTCTTCTTGTTAGGAGATCCATGTTGGAACATCATATATCCTGTTCCCATGTTGTCTCCGGAGGAGAAAAACTGGTGAATTTGTACATTTTTATATGCTTTTCTCCTTGTTAGGAGACACCGTGTATCCTGTTCCCACATCTCCAGAGGAGCAAAACTGGTGAATGTGCTTGTCTAGTGCTCAAATAGGGGCATCTGTCTTTTGTATTTTCCAGATAATTCTCCTGTTTTCCAGTTCTTTTTGTGAATGCTTATATATATATATTTCCAATTCCATACCCTTCTAGCCAGGAAAAAGTGAACAAGGCACTATTAATTATAACAACCATGCTTTTAAGCAAACAATTTTTTTTGGTAGGGCTGCCTACCATTTTTCTGTTTTCACAGTGGAGGCCATATTTTACTATGTTTTGATTATTATTTTTTCAGACTCAAAAATTTGAAGTTGTCACTCAGAATGGGGACTCTTTTCCTGAGCCAAAGACTATTTCCGCTGAAAATGGGAGTCTATTGGAGACTCAAGATAAGGATGTTGTCTTGGAGGGCCTTGGTTCAGTTGGGGTTTATGATCAATGGATTGCACCTTCTATATCTGGTCAACGTCCAAAAGCCCGATATGAGGTATCAATCCTCTTTTGAGCACTCCTAATGCTCTGTTCATGTTCTTATTTATGTGCTGCTTTTGTATCAAAAAATGTGAACCATTCTTTTACCGAGTCCTTTCAATCTTTGTAGCACGGAGCAGCAGTGGTTCAAGATAAAATGTATATTTTTGGTGGAAACCATAATGGTCGTTACCTTAATGATCTCCAGGTATGCTTTCTATTTGCTTGTAGTGGTAGTTTCCTTTTTGCAACATTTGTGTAAATAGTGAGCCATTTTTTGAACTTTTTTAATACATATACATACATGTTTATGACCAGCTATTTGTTGAACCTGTATTGTCTCTTATAATGTATGAAGGACTTATATCAGGGCCTATTGTTAATGGGGATTCCATGAGAGCTGAATTGTCAGGGAACCAAAAGGTGGAAGGGGACTCTAGGGTGGTGGTGGGATGGATTAAGAACAATAGCCAAGAATTGTGGCAATATCAACATATAGGGCAGCCCAGTGCACGAGCCTCCTGGCAATGTGGGGTCTGGGGAGGGACAGATGTACCCTGGTCACCCAGGTTGCAATGGAGCAACCCAACCGTTGCGCCAAGGCCCACCCTCTGGCAATATCAACATATCACCCTGCACATACAGAGAAGCTGTTTCCAAGGTCCGAACCCTGGTCACCCAGGTTACAATGGAGCAACCCAACTGTTGTGCCAAGGCCCACCCTCTGACAATATTAACGTATCATGAGAGATAAAACACTTTCTCTGGAAATGGGATTAAAGGCCAGAAAATGGTTTTACTGCTACTTTGTCCAAGGAAAGGGTAAATATAAACACAATTACCTAATGTTGTCCCATCTATCTGGAGTCTTGGGAGGAGTAGACTGGATCCTAACCTTCTTCTTATCTTCTTCTTCTCTTCTTTTATTGTCACAAAGTGGTTACTCAGACCTGAACCCCCATTCATGCTTGTTGGCCAGAGATTTTACCATTACACCAAGGGACTGTTTGATAACAATTGAAGTTGATGAACAATGACTTGTTGGTTTGTCCTTTAATGATTAAATTATTAAGGAGGTCCTGAGCTCCTTAATGGCCATAACTGAAGTTGAGTGTTGACAAATATTTCGGTGGATTGGGAGATTATGTGGGAGGATCTTGTTTCCAAAGCATTGGTTAGGGTTACTTTGGATCATTGCCCTATTTGTCTAACCCAAGGAACATTGCTTGGTGGCCCCTCTTCTTTCAGGTTTGAAAACATGTGGCTAGAGGATCCCACCTTTGTAGAGAATACCAACTGTTGGTGGAGGGAGCTAGAGAGAGGATGAGGTAAGAAAGGGATAATTTCTTGAGGAGACTAAGGGGTTTAAAAGAGAAAGTAAAGGATTGGAACAAGAACCTCTTTGGGAAGGTGGAGGAGTCAAAAGGAAAAATTCTGTCAAGAATTGAGGAGTTAGATAAAAAAGAAGCTCTTAGATTGTTGAGTAGCGAAGGGAGAGAGGAAAGGTGGAAGCTAAAATATGATTTAGAAGAGATCCTTAGAAAGGAAGAGATTTTGTGGAGGCAGAAGTCTAGATGCAAATGGCTCCTAGAAGGGGATGGCAATACAAGATTTTTTCACTCCTTAGCCTGTGGAAGAAGAAGGAAAAGCCAGATTGATAGGTTGGAGGTGGATGGCATAGAGACTACCAAGGAAGGAGTGATTAATGACCTTTGTTGACCATTTTAAGAGTGTTTATCTGAACCAGGGGGAGAGAAGCCTATTGCCTCCAGATCTTCAGTGGGATAAGGTGTCTGAAGCTGAGGCAAAAGCTTTGGAGAGTGTTTTTACTTCAGAGGAAATAAAAGAGGCAATCTTCCCAATGGATAGGTCAAAGGCCCCTGGGCCGGATGGTTTCTCCTTGGCCTTTTTTCAATAGTGTTGGGAGTTGATCAAAAGAGACCTTGAAGTTTTCAATGAATTCTTTCTGGAAGGGGAAATCTCCCAAGGAATAAACTCAACTTTCATTGCTTTAATCCCTAAGAAGAAGGAAGCAAAAGTTCCCAAGGATTTCAGACCTGTTAGCCATGTGGGTAGTCTCTATAAAATCATAGTGCTAGCAAGGAGACTAAAGAGGGGGTGTTACTAGCGGAAATCTCACAACAACAAGCAGCCTTTGTTGAAGGGAGACAAATTGTAGACCCGATCCTGGTGGCCAATGAATGTGTTGTAGAAAAGAGGAGGAAAGGGAAGGGTTTGGTGTGTAAGCTGGACATAGAGAAGGCCTATGACTTTGTGGATTGGTCTTTCCTCTTGGTAGTCATGGAGAAAGTTGGGTTAGGGGAGAGGTGGAGGAAGTGGATGAAGGGTTGTCTAAGGTCTGTACAATATTCGATTTTGATTAATGGTGTGGTAAGAGATTACTTTCTGGCTAAAAGGGGATTGAGGCAAGGGGACCTCCTTTCTCCTTTTCTTTTCACATTAATTGTAGATGTCCCAAGCAGGATGATTTTGAAGGCAGATCAGAATAATCTGTTTAAAGGCTGGACGGTAGGAAGCTTGGAGGTTGCTGTAACTCATTTGCAGTTTGCTGATGATACCATTCTATTTTGTGAGGAAGGCAACCTTGAATCTGCTTTAAATCTGCGAGAAGTCATTAGTTCCTTTGAATCAGTCTCCACTTTGAAGATTAATTGGGTAAAGAGTTGTGTAGCAGGGATAAATCTGGATGATGAAAGTCTGAGGGTGATAGCAGAGATGTTAGGGTGTGAGATCAAACAATGGCCTTTAGAGTACCTAGGTTTACCCTTGGGTGGACACCCTAGATCAGAGGTTTTCTGGAAACTAGTGGTGGAGAGATTTATGAAGAAATTGGCTATGTGGAAGAGAAATTAGTTATCCATTGGTGGAAGGATAACCTTAATTAGAGCAACATTAGCGAACCTCCTCGTTTATTTCTTGTCCACTTTTAGAGTCCCAGTGAGGGTAGCAAGGGAGTTAGAGAAACTTATGAGGGACTTTCTCTGGGAGCCCAAGAATGAAAAGAGAGACCATCTAGTAAAGTGGGAAGAAGTTTGCAAGACAAAAGAAGAGGGAGGTTTAGGGTTGGGGAATTTAATTCATAGGAATTCTTTGTTGCTAGGAAAGCGGCTTTGGAGGTTTCCATTGGAAGAAACAGGCTGTGGCACAAGGTTATTGAAAGCATTCATGGGCTAAGAATAATGGCTGCGATGCAAAGGTTGCTTCGACATCTACCTTGAACTCTCCTTGAAAAGAAATTCAAGAGGTATATCCAACTTTTCTTAATTTCATTAGTCATGATGTGGGTTGTGGTTCTAGGGTTCTGTTTTGGGAAGACCTTTGGTGGGGTGACTCTCCTTTTTGTTCTCTTTTCCCCGATCTTTACTTGATTTTTGACTATAAGAAGAGACCTATCTCAAGTTTCATCACCTTTTCTCAATCCGGTGCGAATTGGGACTTTTGGTTTAGGAGAGGTCTAAGGGATTGTGAGTGTGAAAGGTTATTAATCCTTTTTGATAACCTCAATTCAGCTTTTCTAGTCCAATCTTTGGAGGACACTAGAGTCTGGTCCACTTCTTCCGATGTCTCTTTTTCCTGTGTTGCATTCTTTAACACCCTTCCCTTGTCCATTCTTCTGGGGGGGATTTTTTGGTGAAAGAGGTTTGGAGTAAGCCCATTCCACCCAAAGTTCAAACTCTTTGATGGAAAATGTTCCTTGGAAAGGTGAACACCTGTGATATGCTTCAAATGAGGAGGCCTCATATGTGCCTCTCCCTCATGTGTGCTTCCTTTGTTTTGTGAATGGTGAATCCCTCTCTCACTTACTGATCCACTGTCCTTGTGTGCTTTTTGTTTGGAAGTCTATTTGCTCTCTGTTTCGTTGCAGGTGGAGCTCCCCACAGGATGTAGTGAGCCTCTTCAACCCAAACTTCCTAAGGCAACCGACAAAGGGAAGAACAATGTGGATATCAGTGAGGGCAGCTGTGGCATGGATGATTTGGGGGGAAAGGAATGCAAGAATATTTAATGGAAAATGCAGACTATAGTCGTATGAGACTACTGACGGCCCAAGTCGTGTATAATCAACAGGAAATTAAGAGGATGAGAGGAGAGAATGAGAGGAGAAAGAGAAAAGAAGAGAAGAAGATTTCAAAGGAAGGATTTTAGAAAAGAAGAGGATGCTTAATCAACCGCCCCCCTCATTCTATTTATATTAATTCTGAAGTAAGGATAAGACTGCTTACATGGCAAAATTAAAATCCTAATAAAAGACAACAATTAAAGTCCTAATAAAAGACTAACAACTAATTGTGGACCAACACTTAAATAACTAGTAGTTGTATACAAGAACAATAGAAAGAGGTGGGAACCACATAGTAGTTGTATACGAGTACAATAGAAAGAGGTGGGGACCACATCAGTGGTTTCTACACTCCCCCTCAAGTTGGGAATAGATGTTTGTCATTCCCAACTTGCATAGATCTGCTTCTAACTTCTTCTTTGAAACAGCCTTGGTGAGAAGATCAGCAAGTTGCATGTTGGAGCTGATATATGGTTGACAAACTTCTTGAGATTCAACCCTTTCGCTAATAAAATGTCGATCGACTTCAATGTGCTTGGTTATGTCATGTTGTACCGGGTGATGAGCTATATTAATAGCAGACTGATTATCACAGTACAACATTAGAGGTTTCTCATAGGTAATACCCAATTCATCAAACAATGATTTCAACCATAGTATTTCAGCCACACCATTTTCCATGGACTGATATTCAGCTTCGACACTGGAACGAGAAACAACATTTTGTTTCTTACTCCTCCAAGAAATAAGATTACCTCCTACAAAGGCATAAAATCCAGAGGTAGACCTTCTATCATCAACACAACCGACCCAATCTGCATCTGTGTAAACTTCCATCTTCATGTGACTATTATCCTTAAATAGTACACCTCTGCCTGGACACCTCTTTAACTATGCCAATATCCTCTCAACAGCAAGTAGGTGGGTAGTTCTGGGAGAGTGCATATACTGACTAACAACACTGACTGCATAGCTGATGTCTGGTCGTGTAAGACAAAGATATAGTAGTTTACCAACTAATCTTTGGAACATAGCTTTATCTTCAAGAGGCTCTCCACCTTCTGCACTAATCTTGTGATTCTGTTCAATAGGTGTRTCAGWTGGCTTAACACCCAACTTTCCTGTTT